GGAAACCAACGTGAATTCTTGAATTCATCGCTTAATGGGCTAACTGATTGTACTTATTGGTAATCCGCTAGCGTATACCGATAGCGCAAGCGGGAGTACCTTTTAATTTTCACCCATAAAAAAACATACGATTCCAGATTCTAAATTTACTTTATCTGCGACATATTTGAAATTTCCTTTTTAAAAGGCCAGCAGCACACTTGCAATGCCATTGATGTTATGGGTGATCATGGGCAGCGGTAGTCACTTACCATCAGGTGAGACGCGTGCTCGTTTGCCTCCTGAGTTGTAAAAAAAAACATTTTGGATATTTACATGTATCTATTTATAACTGGAATATATTTTGCGGAGTAATATTTATTATACTTGTAACAGAAAGTATAACACAATTAAAGAACAATAAAAATATCGAGATACAAGATGGCGGTCGTAGTTTCGAAATCAGGGTAATTCGAAAATAAAAGTGAACGCTTAATTGACGTTTTACGGGTTACCTACTGATACACAGACGGTATCAGTGGGTGACCCATAAAACGACACCCTACCGAGTCAGCCAATTACTGTGATTACGGTCAATCGCCTAGAAGTCAAAGATGGCACCTGTAATTTGGCAACCTCGAATTTTGACTAACGGTGTGCGAAATACGTGTAATAACACTGAACAAGTAGCGTAATTGAGTTGCTGACTACCTTCTTGTACGCATTAGTTTCTGAAGTAGCAAACCTAACACGATACCTAAGATCTACCTAACCTAAGATAAAACATACGACAGGTTTGAAGGCAGACTTTCAGAAACGCAATGTACAACAGTACAAAGTACAGAAACAAAAACCACAACCAATTTGATGCAGTAATTTCTACGTGATGCAGAAACAAACAGGCAGATACTGCTCTTATTGAGATCCCTCATGTATTTTTTCTTAAATATTTTTTTTTTTTTTATAAATAGACGTTTTCTAGTTACAATATTATTATATTAGTAAGAAGAGAAATAACAATTTTAAGCTAAGTTGTATCCGGTCAGAGAGTTATAAATTTGACATACATTCATAATCTATTTTAGGGATTCGTTTTAAAATAATACAAAGAAATTCTTATGAAGTAGCTATTTGTTCATCTACCATAGTGCTACATCTCACTAACATTTGTAATCCATCATTTCGTATCGATTTGAAATTTCGAATAGTTTTTTCTTAATTTAAATCAACTTTACAAGCATTCTTCAGTCATTTTTTACGAATGCTGGGTTCGGAAAGTTGTCATCTGTTGAGAAGAGCCCGCAAGAAACTCAACAGTTACTCTTTCAAATCTCTGTTAACATTATGTGTATTTATTTAAATGTACTATGTCTAAAATTACATGGTCGTTAGAAGCCCGTGCATGATCGACTAACATCATGCACGTTTGTCATTCAAGTAATAGTTTAGTGTGTAATAGGCTTTGTTCAATAAGTGTTATTTAATATTGTTAATTCAAAACCTTACTGCGAAAGATTTCTTTTACAATAAGGATTGCATAAACATATTTTATCAAAAATATAATTGATATAATATGTAAATATTTTCTTAGTTCTAGAATTATTGATTTGATTTGTTCTCTGACTTCCAAAGTAGGCCAATGTTTGCAATGTTTGCATTGAAAGTCGAGCTATTGCTTTCTGAGAATGATATGGTGCACGCATTATGATTCAAATGAAGGCAATTTGTTCTATTTGGAAGAGAATTCCAATGAGAGGAAACTACTGTATTTTGTTTTGCTCACTATTTGAATTTTTATATGTGCTTTTGGTTTAACTGTCCACTGTTGGACATAAGCTTTCCCTATAAAGGAAGTTTTGCCAGTAGTTGTCACGCTTGGCAGGCGTAGTTAGGTTGGTAACCGTAGTTAGGCAGGCTTTTAGCTGCTGCCCATCCCTAGCCCTTTCTTAGTCGTCTCTTACGACACCCATGGGAAAGGAAAGGGTGGCCCATTCTATGCCAGAGCACACACAGCACCAATATAATAAAAAATAAACATACTAGATATAATACTATATAATTGTGTACTGAACTATGTCGTTTCATTTGACATTTCAAGAAGTATGTAATTGGTAGATCGCACAGGGTTACGTCAGTAAACAGTAGATCTTGGGTCTAGTCAAGTGGGCCACCCCTGGGCTACAGTGACCGTTTACGATCAGACGGGCTGTTATTGTTTGTCAAATTTGTAGTATAAAAAAAGTTACGTTTCTGCTTACCCCGCAGGAGAGAAGGCGTCAGCACTTTCTCCGGGGCATATTTACTTTTTGAATACTATCGTTGAGTGAGGCAAGCGAGGTGGTGGTGTGGTGGAATGCGGGTCACCGGTAACGGTGCGGCCGCTAGCGCACTGCACGAGGCGCCGGCTCGCCGCCGACACACGCTGGCCGGCCAATGAATGGGAGGGTTGCCAATCTACATCCACACTAATATTATAAAGAGGAAAGATTTGTATTTCACCAGAGGGAGACTGTACAAAAGTCGTTTGCTTGGGCACCTCTGTCATATTCGTGTTTCTACCGTAAAGCAATTGTGTTTGCATGGCTGTTTCGGTTTGAAGGGTGGGATATGGCGTGAATTTACAGGGTACAGAGGGATAACATCTGAGTCCTCAGGAATGGCAACGCATGGGGGGTATCATGGGCGAAACAGTATACTTTGTTATGTCCATGGTACTGCTCATGTCTATAGACGACGATTACCACTTTCCATCAAGTGGGCCGTCAGCTTGTTTGCCATTCTAACTTGTATAAAAAAAAAAAAATTGTGTGTATGTATGTTTGTAATGAATAAACTCAAAAGCTACTTTGCCGATTTTAAAAATTCTTTCACCATTAGAAAGCTACACTCACCCTGAGTAACATAGGCTATATTTATTGCTAGAAAAGATTAGGGATCCTTACTAAAACCTTAGTAGCGTAACTCAAGGTGTAAAAAAATTACTTTCTTCGCGTGCGCTGCGGAAACTATTGGTGATAGAACAAAAGTATGTTCTACAATATTGAAGAAAATATCAATAACTACAAAAAATTCCCGGTGCTATACGTCAAACTATTATTGTTATGTCACAATAACCACTTTTTAAAATGTTGTAAAATGTCCATCCGTGCGAAGCCGAGACGGGCTGCTAGTCATTTATAAACAAACTAATACCCGCGAATCTATCTTATCTTTCTTCACGGTAGAAACACGAATGGGACAGAGGTACCCAAGCAATCGACTTTTGTACAAAGTCTCCCTCCTTCCCTTTTCGAAGTTGCATAAAAAACTTAAGTAAGTACTTAGATAAAAATGTATTACGAATAACCACAATTAGTAAGTACTCTGCCTCACATGTTTGCTGTATTAAAGACGTTTGGGACATACGCATTGTACGAACAATCAACCGACCTTGTAGCCAACAATACGTCAACAAAGAAAACATAATTTGTCCCACTTTCGCATTGAGGAAACCAGTAGATATTGTTGCCAAAAAAAAATACATCGTAGTAAAATTAATATTCTCTTGTAATCCTAGTATGGTTATTTCAAAAAGAATGAAACCTGTTCTATCGCTGTACGTATGTATTAATATAATAAAATTAGAACTAAACGATGTCTGTAAATGGGGAGATATTTGAAAAAAAAAATATATATATATATATATTTGGGTTTATAATAAGATCAATAAAAGCCAAAACGAGAGGTCATCGCTGGCGGTAGTCACATACTACCAGAGGGAAACTGTACAAATGTCGTTCAAACCGAAACACAGTTATGCAAACAAAACTATATATGCAAAACTATTTCTAATTTAAAATTAATAGTTGTCAAGATATATTCCTGCAACAGACGGATAGACGCATGGTTCCTTTATAGCATGTCAGTAGCTAACTCTAAAAACCGGATTAACTCTACATATTATGTGTTTGTTTGCATATTGCATACAGATGACATTGCACTTGCACCGGCCGCCCGGCCGGGCCGCTCGGCTGTACCACTAGGGTGGGTTGTGGAATGTCCCACTTTCACCAGCTATTCTAGTGCACATTGGTTTAACGAAACAAACATATTAATCATTTATACTAGTACATAAGTAAATACGTTTCACATACCTGACCACTAGAGCTGTTTGTCTTATCTGATAATTTCCTTTTAAGACTTTCCTCTTAACGTGGCTACTAATTTATGTATTATTCTCCAACCAGTTCTATTCCAAGCCATATCTTCGACCTCTCTATACCCTACAAGAATACGACTTAATAGTTTGAGGGTGTGTGGTTCGAACCTAGATCCAAACAATGGTATCTTGATATCCACCTAAAGGCATCCACAATGTTTGTAGCAGCATTGGCAGAAGACTTCTATGCCATCAGACGCAAACGGATCGCATCTCTTTTGTACCGACTGCGTGGCAGCAGTGACAGCATTCTGTAAGCATTGTGTAATAAATACGATAGCCCGATCCTCTCATTGTGGGGTAAAACTATTATAGGTGCAATAAAATGATTTGTTTTGTATTTTTTTTTATACTAACATAGTTTAAGTCAGTTGTTACTAACAAAAATGGATCTTAGTTTATCTGTAATAAAGAAATAATATTATTATTATAAAGGCTCTGGAAGATCGTTTTATATAGAGGGACCGTCAGGGAACTAAACGTTATCAATTGCAAAATATTTTTTTAAAATCAGATCAGAAAAAGCTCAAATGTATAGATAATTTTTTATATGTGATTTTTATGACACTTAGAATTGCAAATAAGCTGACAATGTACCTGATGGAAAGTAGAAACCGTCGTCTATAGACATGAACGGCACCATGGATGTTACAGAATAGTCTAATATGTTTACGCTAAGTCCCGCTCATGCGTTGCTATTTCTGAAGATAAACCACATTCCATCCTTCAAACCAAAGTATAGCAATATAAGTACAGATGTTTCACGACAGAAACACGAATGGAAAGATAAAAGCCAACTGGTCATCGTGTCGTCTCGTTACAGAGTATCCTGTCAGTACTGGTGTCGAGCGCCCTGCCTGAGCAGACGGCGGCCGCGGAGCCGCTGTCCACCGCGGCGCCCGCGGCCGCGGCCGCGGCCTCGCTCGAGCCGAGAGCTGGCGACGCGCCCGTCGACGCAGACTCGGAAGAACCACCCGAGGGCTACTATGCGTTTGTCGAATCACCCAATGCAACCCCACCCAGGTAAGTGACCTTGCAGACAGGGGAGTAGAGAAGCTAATAAAGGGGTGTAGTGGCCCTATTGCTAGCAATATACTATCAGGTCGATCTCCACATGGTCAAAATATTACAATTTAATTCCTAGTGAACTTGTCATGATACGGACACCCCATTCGATTTCTTGCTCATTTACTTTTTTTTTTATGTTTTATCATCATTCATTTTATCGTCACTCACTGGTATTCCGTCGACACATATTGATTACACAGGCGGAGTGTCTTTCTATTTTCATCTCATTAAAGATACCCCTTGTATTTCTTTTTGCCAATGAAAAAGTAATCCAACCTGTGCTATTCGTATACGTTGCCCGGTGGGGCACATTGAAAGATGATAGGCGAGGATGAAAGCAGGTAAATTAGCCCATAGTGACAAGTAACCATGACGATTTCCAGGTGTACCAGGGGTCGATGTGATTAGGCGTGTTGCTAGCGAATAGGGCTTTTAGTCCGCGTGACTGACAAGCCCTTTCTCTTAAACCCTTGTATATTGTGCTGTAATCACAAATGGAGTGTAGTTTTTATTTTAATAGAAAATGGAATGGTTGTATTTAATTTACGTTGACGGGGTACAAGTGTATGATGATAGGTGAGAAAAAGTCAGATCATTGGACCATCGTGACGAATTCACTGGGAATTAACCACGAGCCTCTAGGGACTGAGGATTTACTATCAATTTTGATACTCATGCAACATCTCAGCAAACAAGTACCTATATTTACTACTGTACTAGTATAGTACTGTATTATGTATGCATAGGTGGTTTAGTAGCGGCAAACTTGGTAATCTTAGTATTTATATTATCTATGGTATGCTGACTAGTAAGTACTATGTCAAGTACTACCAAGGACATAAATGTACCTAGGTACAGTTATACCTTTGCTCTGCTAACCTATTTGAAAGCTTTCTCCAACGATGTTAACTGTCCTAAATCTTCTACGATAAAGTACAAGCGATACCAGTCAATGTCCAGTTACTGGTAGTTATGTATTTCCACCTGCATAAATGTTAAACACAGTTTCCTAGACATTTGCCCGGCCATATAATTATAGTGTTTTGATATAAAATATTATTTCATTAGAAATTAAAGAAAGTACTTGGTAAATTAATCATATAACTTGCTAAACAAGAGGGAAGAAGGGTTTAGTAATAGAGATTAGCAACCTCATTGCTAGTAATAAACCCTATCAGGTCGACCTCCTCGCGGTTCACTCTGGAAACCATCGTGATTGATTTATTGTTGAATTTGTCAAGATGGTATAGCTGACCTGCTTCATTCTCACTTATCATTCTGCACTGGTGCATGTATATCGATGGCGCAGGCGAAGTTATCATTTCATTATCATTTATTAAAAAAAAAAAAAACTAGCTAAGTAAAGCTTTTTTTATTCATTAAAATGAGTTAATTTGTTACTATCTTTTACCACTTTAACGGCCTAAACAATCCCTTAGAAATTTAGTGTACACGTTCTACACGTATATGCAATGGAGAAGGACAAGGCTTTATATCTCGATTAAAAAACATATCTAGATTGCGAACGAAGTCACAAATATACACATAACCGTTTTGGACTATTTTAATTCATCATCATATCAAGCGAGAAGTGTCCGCTGCTGAACATAGGCCAGGGGGGTTTTGGTACAAGTTAGCATATGTGGCAGGCAGGTTGGCAGCCGCAGTTAGACTTTGGCGGCGTTTTAAGAGGGACGCTGCTGCCCATTTCTTGACCGTTAAGCTCTTCCTAGTCGCCTATTACGACACCCTCGGGAAAAGGTGTGGTCTATTCTATGCCGGGACCATAAGGTTAAAATTTATTTTAATCTGTAAATGGTAATCCTAATATATTTCGTATTGACATTCACAGGGTGCGCCCGCCGCCATACCGGCAAGTTTCGACCGAGTGCCGCGAGGGGGCGGGCGCGCGGCCGCACGTCAGCGCGCACAACCTGTGCGGCGACCTCAACCGCGGCATCATACCCAAGAACCCCATGGGACAGAACCCCAACGGGGAACCTTACCCTTTGTAAGTGCCACTGTTATTTTTAATAGATAAAATCGTAAAATCGGAATGCAAGTGTGATATGGCAATTGAATCTAATACCAATTTTTTATGCAACTTAGAATGGCAAACAAGTTGACGGTTCACCTCGGTTGGAAAGTGATAACTGTTTTGAAAAAAATCAATTTGACAAATTGTTTCAAAATTGTCAAAATTCAATCATTTTCAATATTCTGTTTATAAAGTCACGGGTAGATAGATTGATACTCCTTATTGTTTCCTCCAAAAGAAAGGATGGAGAGGAGTAATTATAAACAGTTTGATCGGAGGCACGATGAAAATTCTATTATTTCTAAATATGGAGATGTGATACATGTAATAATGTAAATATATATCTTTACTCATTAGATAGGTAAAAAGATTATAAAATTATATAAAAAAAAAATACAGCTTTTTCTCTATAAGTGGAAGAATTAGTTTTTTTTTAACTTTTTTGTATACAACTTAGAATGGCAAACAAGCTGACCGCCCACCTGATGGAAAGTGTTAACCGTCGCCTATACACATGAGCAGTACAATAACATGAATAAAGTCGACATAAATAATTACTAAAATTTGATTTTTTTTTCTTTACAACATTAGTTTAAATTGTTCAATTGTTGAAAATTGACAGACGAGTCCGATGTTGCTACATTGATAAGTTTTTGTATATATATTTTTTTAATTTTTCGATCAATTTCAAGAAGAAGGGGATTCTTAATTCGGCTATGTTTATTAATGGACTGTAAAAGGAAAGACTTTTTCAACTCGGTTGTGTTTTTTTTATGTATTTTACTTTATAACTCCGTGGGTTGTAAAACAATTTGGATTTTATTTTGTCTGAAAGGATATACTTACATATAGGTTTCATAGAAATGTCATCGAAATCGGTTCAGTAGTTATTTTTAAATCCAAACACCTGTTTTTGTTACAATTGATTTTTTTTTTATTTTGGAATACAATTTTAATTGTGATTAATATGAATTGTACACCGCTCTACCCGCAGACATTGATGCTTCATTTCACTTTAGTTGTTGTTAGAAGAGAACTCTTTTAGAGTCAAGCTCGTCTTTGTATATATACTTACCTGTATCATATTTTTACGTACAATCAGTGTGTACAATACAGTATAAATAAATAAATAATCATCGGACCGTGTAGCGAGCTGATCCGCGACCGTGCGTTGTTGTTCCTGGCGCGCACGGTGCCGGTGCTGCGCGCCGACGACACGCTGCCGCGCGTCACGCACCTCGCGCACCACGCGCACGCCGCGCACCACGCGCACGACACGCACGCCACGCACGCCACGCACGCCACGCACGCCACGCACGCCACGCACGCCACGCACGCCGCCCACGACACGCACGCCACGCACGGCCCGCCGCACGAACACAACCAGTGAGTACGATAGTATCCCACTTCTGATCTCAAACTACTGTACTTACTTATTGTAAATTGAAATTGAAATCCTTTATTTGCTGGAATAAGGTAAAAATGTACCTAAATGTAGTTACATAGTACGTAGAGTATTATTGTCTACAGAGACCGCAGTATGTAGTAGGTAACTGCAGAAAAGACTTTACATAAAGCAGACATTTGAATTTGAACTCATTTATTTGCTGGAATAAGGTACATTTTTATAGGTGTTACTTTACAAGAAAAATAGTCCAATCTTATTCTGCCACACTGCAGGCGTGCAAATATAAAAACTTATTAAACAAAACATTAAAATAATTTCATCATAATAACATATACATTTGCAATAATATTTTGTCACTTTTTGTATCTATTCATGTCAATTCATTGTCTTATAAAATCATTAAATATGTACATAACACAAGGTGAACACATATCTAATCATTATTTATAATTATTTTATCATTTAAAAACTCATTTATTGAGTAATAACATTTATCCATAAATAGCTTCAAGAGCTTTTTTTTTGTAATAAGATAAATTATTACAATTCCTAATACTTTCAGGCAAATGATTATATATATGTTATTTGTATGGTAATATGTTTTCATAGTAATTTAAGTACGTAATCCTAACTTTACATGTATATGATATATTATTTAGCAATATAAAGCTTGTAAGCCTCTTAGTAATAAATATAAATGAAGCACAAGTTCACTTAGTTCATTTATTTTAGATATTTAAATTTGTATATATACATATAACAAATAATATAACATAAATATACCCAACTTCTGTTAATCCATTGACACTTATTTAATTATACATTCTTTAGGACTTCCATCAACAATAATTGTGATATATTTTATATAATGACCACGTGGTTCACTATACTTGTTCACTCTTGATACGACAGGGAGCTCCGCTCTGTTCAACGGTTGGACAAGAAGTGTCTCCCCACCCGAATAACAACCTTTTATATCTACACGGCCGAATTTGAGTTAACAAGTCAGCGAGACCACGTGTACTTACAATTTCATTACTATTTATTCAAGTATCATGATAATAAATGATTATAAAATCGATTTAAATATAAAATAGTGTTTTATATACATTACAAGAATAATTCATTATAAAATTTGGTATAATTTTTATTTTATATTTAAAATTGTTATGCTGGTTTTTATTAATAAATGTAGGTATACATTTTGACACAAGATGTTTAGGAAAATTAATATATTTTAAAATAAATATCTAACACACGCTACACACTACACCTCACACTGACAGGGGGGAAACGGGATTGTTATTAATGGGGATTAGTAACCCCATTGCTACCAATACACCCTGGCAGCTCCACCTCCTCGTTGTTCTCCCTGGAAACTATCGTGAATAATTATTGTTAAATTCGTCACGGTGGCCTAATTGCCCTGCTTCATCCTCACCTATCATCTCTCACTGGTGCCCCGCCAGTGTATAGCGATATGCTGGCAGGGCACCAATGAGGGTTTTTCAATGGGCGATAATGGAATGGTAATCCCGCCTGCGCTATCGGTATACGCTGGCGGAGTACTATTTTTTTTAATGGGTGATAATGGAATGATAACCGCCTGCGCTATCGGGATACGCTGGCGGGGTACCAGTGAGGGATGACAGGTGAGGATGATAAGGCAGGTCAGTTAGCCCATCGTGACGAATTCCACTAGAATCAATCACGACGGTTTCCAGGGGGAACCGCGTGGAGGTCGACCAGATAGGGTGTATTGTTAGTAATGGATCAATTAGACCCCATTACTAACAATCCCTTTCCCCCCGGCGGAGTACCATTAAATGATGATAGGTGACGATGAAAACAGACCAGTTGGCCCATCGTGATGAATACACCTGAAATTCAATTGCTAGTTTCCAAGGGGAGCCCCGTAGAGGTCGACCTGACAGAGTATATTGCTAGCAATGGGACAGGTAATCCGCATTATTAATAATTTCTTCTCTCCTATTGTTGTGATTTTAATTTAATTATTATTAAATTGTTCCATTTAAAAATACGTACCTCTTGTTTGGATACCTCTGTCCCATTCGTGATTCTACCGTGAAGCAGTTGTGTTTGCATGGCTGTTTTTCGGTTTGAATGCTGAGATATGGCAGTGAATTTACTGGGTACAGAGGGATAACATCTGAGTTCTCAGGAATGGCAACGCATGGGGGGTATCATGGGCGAAACAGTATACTCTGTTATGTCCATGGTACTGCTCATGTGTATAGGCGACGGTTACCACTTTCCATCAGGTGGGCCGTCAGCTTGTTTGCCATTCTAAGTTGTATAAAAAAAACATATGTGTTATAATATTCCGATGCTTTCATGAGTGAATGTACTGGGACGACTGGTAAAGCTCACCCAGTTGATGCTATAAATAAATAACAAATAAATTACCAGTGATATGAACGTGTGCTGTAACCGTAGTGTAACAAGCGACTGAACACCTACAGATTGGAGGAGCGCGGCAAGCGGTCGCTGGAGGAGGCCGCGGCGGAGGGGGTCGGCCCGAGCGACTCTGTACCGTCACACGAGCTCGCGGCCGAGCACCGCGCCGCCGCGCCGCGCGAGAGCCGCAAGTTCTGCGACGGCGGCGGAGTGTAAGTACCTTACTAGTTAACACCGCACTAGTGGGCATAGGTCTTCTCAGAAGAGGGTGTAGACAAATATTGGTAGCGGGGACTAGTGGTCCCTGGCCCCGTTGCTAGCAAAATAGCCAGCTAGGGTATATACGGATCAGCAGGTCTACTCTTGAGTCTAATATCGATATCGATTCAATCTAATAACATCCAAGAAATAACCGGGGTGACAACCCTTAACGAGAAATTTTTTTTCTCAGTACCTATTGAAGATATATTTATGAAATTGAAACTGTACAAGACTATTGATCAACTAAATATATTTTTTTTAGAATTTTTGTATATTGGAAACTATGGTTTCCAATATTTTTTTTTAATGGATGATAATGGAATGGTAACTCCGCTACCGCTATTGGTATGCATTAGCGGGGACCAGTGAGCGATGAGAGATAAGTATGAAGACAGGTCAGTTAGCCCATCGTGACGAATTCAACGATAAATTAATCACAATGGTTTCCAGGGGGAACCGCGCGAAGGTCGACCTGATAGGGTATATTGTTGGCTATGGGGCCTCTTGTCGCATTAGTAACAATCCGTTTTCCCCCTAGTTTCCAATATTGCAGTTATTCACTTACTATAAGGATTAGGGGTGTAAGATTAAGTGTACAGTTCCGGGGGGAAAGGGATTGTTAGTAATGGGGTCTAACTGACCCATTGCTAGCAATACACCCTATCAGGTCGACCTTCACGCGGTTCCCCCTGGAAATCATAGTGATTAATTCTAGTGGAGTTCGTCACGATGGGATCACTGACCTGCTTTCATCTTCACCTATCATCCCTCACTGGTGCCCCGCCTGTGTATACCGATAGCGCAGGCGGGGTTAGCATTTCATCTTCACCCTTTAAAAAATCCGGACTTTTAAAACCAAAACAGGCATGCAAACATAGCTTCTTATTCACAGAAACACGAATGGATTACAGGTAATCGTGCAGACGAAAAATGTATGAAAACTATTAGAATTGTCTATTCAAATTTATTTAGGGCACCAAACAATTATTACAGTAATTAAATTTTTAGAATGACAATTAAAAGACAAAGTAAATTATCAATAATTTATTTAAAGTGTTATTTAACAATGCTCATAAAACTATTCATGATTCGTAGCTTACACAAATAGGAAATAAATGCATGTTAGTACAAAAATATAATCTTATATAAAAACCTCATGTCGTTTTCGCTCCCTATCACAATGCATCGTAAAGCTGGATACGTCATAGACCAATAACACCTAGATAGTCTGTATAAACAATTCGTGGAAACAACACCAATTTTTCATTTTCATATAAGTAAATGTATTTATAACACAGCTGTGTATTATATTATTCCATTTTTTTTATGCAAAATTAAATTGACAAACAAGCTGATGGCCCACCTGATGGAAAGTGGTAACCGTCGCCTATAGACATGAGCAATACTGTGGACATAACAGAGTGTACTGTTTCGCCCATGATACCTCCCATGCGTTGCCATTCCTGAGGACTCATGTGTTATTTCTCTGTACCCTGTCAATTCACTGCCCATGCCCACCCTTCAAACCGAAACACAGCCATGCAAACACAACTGTTTCACGGTAGAAATACGAATGCAACAGAGGTGCCGAAGCAAAGACTTTTGCAGAGTCTCCCTCTGTTAGATATATGAGTATAATAAATTAATGGCAGTAGACTCGCCTCATGTCATTATAAATTCTAATCTTACCGCAACTGGCGAGAAATGTCTTTCACTGAAGGTAAAGGGATTAGTAATAGGGTATATAATCTATCAGGTCGACCTCCATATGGTCCCCCTGGAAACCAACGTGGTTATTTCTTGTGGAATTCATCATGATGGGCTAATTGAAGCAATCTTTTTTAACTTGGTTCTACCAAGTTGGCTGTTTTTTTGGAACGTTTTTTTTTTTTAATTTTCAATGCTCCATCTAGATGTACATCATCCACAGTTAATGTCTAGTTTTCTTGTAACTATGTCACACTTCTAACAATATAGCTTTAACTAACAATATAACATGGATATGAACTGAAATTTAACGTGTTTTACTAGCGATGGATAGTATTAAATGACTGTTAATTATTTTGTTCAGTACTGCAACACAGCTTTCCTTGTTCTGATCAATTTTGACAACATATCACAAAAAATATGTAAAAAATTATACCTCCTTATTCATAATATTCATATATATATATATATATATATATATATATATATATATATATATATTCTGAACTTAGGAAGACAGGTTCATTACATAGCGTAGGTAAACGAAAAGAATTTTCGAAATTCAACACATTCAATAAAACACTTCGATTATGAGAAAACCTATTACTAAAATTAAATTACAGAACCAATTTTGATATAATTATTATGGAACCAGTGTATCCTTTCAGATAAAAAAAATCCAAGTTTAGAACTGATGGAATTATGAAGCAACGAACATATAAAAGAAAAACAACTAAATTGAGAACTTCCTTCTTTTTAAAGTCGGTTGAAAAAAAAAAATAAAAGAATAAAAAGCTTAGAAACATTTATTGATATGTGTTATCATTCTCAAACATAAGATAGTGTTTTCATAAAATATACATTTACTGAACGCTAGTGAAACACGTAAATATTTTTTATATAACATAAATATAAAATATAAGCTATATAAAATAGCAATTTATAAAGTCAATCCAAAACATTAATCAACTTAAATATTTAACTTTAACATTTGAAATATTTCTTTTTTATTTTATTTATTTATTCTTTATTGACGACATTACAAAAAAAAAAATGTCTGGTACAAAAGACGGACTTATTACTATATAGCATTCTCACGCAGTCAACCTTTTGATAAAACAGACATGTAATTATGCAGTGAAAAAATTTAAAATTGTTTTGCAGATAGACAATTACACGTATGTACATATATATAAATATTTCTTGTTCTCAAACATGCTTGGATACGTGAGCTTTATTAAGTAAGCGGCCGGCAAAAGTTGTATGAAAATCCATATCTGTCGTGTTTTGCGGCCAGATAAATTACTATGTAAACTCATATGTGTCCTGTAATTTAAAAATGGAATGACCTTTTACTTCGAAACATGGCTACCAAGGAGGTAATTAATAAAAGGTTTAATTTAAATTTCGAAGTAGCTTGCAAATAGAAAGCCGTTTATTGAAAAAAAAAAGGAACATTATGGCGCGTGAAAAATTATTATTGTTCGTTATTCGTCATTGAACTTAAAAAGTAAAATTGTATTTTTTATTTCCGCGCATTGTTTGAGAAAAGTACTATACAAGTCTTGGCTAAAACTAGACATTGATGGACTCACGTATGTGTGCCTCGGCTACGCCTCGGCCCACATTTGCACGTTCGTCTATCAATGCCTCAGTTGCTGGCCACTGCAGTAATATACTATATATGTTATACGAAATTTTTATCAAATTTTAAATCGATTATTATATAATTATTGGTTTTTTTTTTCTTTGTTGGAAAGAGTATTCTCAATTTGATTTTACACTAGTTAAGTAAAAAATTGAAGCTTTTTTTATACAACTAATAAATATAAAATCGACAATATTATGTTACTAAACAATAAAAAAGAATACGATAAAAAGATTTTAAAACTATAATTTACCAATATAACATATATTAAGGCGCTTTTTATACTAAAATTCCATTTATTTCGTATAATTTTTAACTTATGTTATATAGATAAAATATCTCCATAGAAATGCTTCGACTTTTTCATACAATTTTGCGTGATAAACAGAATGAGTGGATTCCTTTTTGGGAAAGGCTAATGTTCAGCAGTGGACAGTTAAAGGTTGAAATGATGATTCTAAATTTATTAAAAATTCGCGCAGTGCAACTATGTGCAACATGCGTGAAACTAGTTTCAAACTACCTACTACTATTTATACAATTCAAATTAAACAATTTTTTGTATAAATATTGCAATAAATTAAACAGGTAACTTCCAACTACTTGATAATATTATACATGTAAAAATGAGTTTGTTGGTTTTTTTTACGCTTTAAAATTAATACATGCGCAGTATTTAAGATGGAGAAGAACAGTCTACATTTTATATCGGAAAAGCGGGATAAAGTCGCGAGAAAAACTACTACTTTATTAAACAGATTTAAAATTTTAAGGACCATGCTGTTTATCTTCAAAATAAGTACCTAACGAGGTAGACAGAGAGTATGTTTGATATATTGAGCGTATCAAATAACTTGATAAATCCTCTGCTTGGACAATTGAATGATACGGGTTCGAATCCTGTCACAAGTTGAGTTTCCGGAGGTATATATTTTTCAATCCAGTATCCTTACTAATATAGTAAACGTGATTTTGTGTGTGTTGTTTTTTTTAATCTATCTATCCTATTTAAGAGCTAGCAATATGCCCTATTAGGTCGACCTCTACGTGGTTCCCCCTGGAAACCATTGTGAACAATTCTCGTTGAATTCGTCACGAGGGGCTAACTGACCTGCTTCATCCTCATCTATCATTCTTCACTGGTGCCCCGCCGGCGTATACCGATAGCGCAGGTGGGGATACCATTCCATTATCACCCATTTAAAAAAAAAACAATCATTTCTAAAAGGGACTACACTGAGGTCCAACTAATAGAATATATTGCAAGCAACATTGCTTGAATTCATTATTTATAACTATCTATCTATCCTATTTAAGAGCTGCGCTCTTGTCGGTGGAGCTCTTGCCACTCACTACGATTGTCAGCGAGTCTCTTCACCTCTTGATACGACACGACCCCAACTCCTTCCTTGATCTGCCTGATGTAACTATGTCTCGGTCTCCCTCTCCCCCTTCTTCCTTCTATCTTACCTTCTATTATAATGTTCATAAGTTCGTCGTGTCGTATCAAGCGTCCCAACATTTTTTCCCTTCTGTCCTCAATATAGTTTTGAAATATAATTGAAATGGAAAAACACAGGCTGTTTTTTAATTCCGGTAAATGAATATATTTCGGACAAACGGTCGAGGTTGCAGGTAAAAGCTAGTATTTTAAAATATTCAAATGTACATTTAGGATTTTAAAATTATTTTCACACATCTCGATCCTGTTTCAATCTCATAATGATTTGCAAACACTACACTGCTTACTCCCTTAACATTTGAAGTCTTATCGTATCTCGGTGAGGCCCAGAGTGTTGAGGTCTGCTATGACGACGTCGTAGATGTCCGGTCGCGTGCCGTCCAAGATTTGCACCCGTTTGTCTTGCTCGATCTGATAACAATCAGAGAACATTTTGAAATGGTTCTAAATTCATGGCCATAACATTGTATAGTACATTGCATCCATAACACTGTTTACTTCAGCCTATATCCTTCATTATATATAGGTTATTCTTCATACATCCTATTTAGTACATTCGATTATAATGTTAAGGCGCTATAAGGTAACAAACAAACAAACTGACTTTTACGTTAATAATATTAATAAGGAATACTTTATATTTTTTAATATAAGAAAAATCGGAATGATTATATATATTTTAGTCAAGAATGTTTGACAAGTCTTTGTTAGTTCGCGTTCGTGTTTCGACCGCTCATGTCTAAGGGTCCCGGATTGTCCTGAAACTAGTTGAGCCTTCTCGACTAATATACACGTAAATCAATCCGGGTATTCTAACATTAAAATGTGAACTTACAAAACTTTAAAAAACAAAATTGTAATTTTAAAAATGGTTTTTTGATGAGATCACTTTTAGCAATCATCATCATATCAGCTAACTGTCCCCCCAGTCCCCCTCCTAGTCCCGACCTCGTCCGTACCTGCGCGCGGTACTTGAGATGTTCGGGCCACACGCAGCGCTCGAAGTAGCCCGCGACATCGGGCGGGTCGTATAGCCGCAAGCAACGCCGCGACACGCACTCGCCGTACTCCAGCACAAAGTAGTACCTGCACAGTGTTTTTTTTTTTTATGGATGATAATAATTGTAAAGTGATAAGAATGGTAGCCCCGCCTGCGCTATCGGTATACGCTGCCGGGGCACCAGTGATAGATGACAGGTGAGGATGAAAGCAGGTCAACTATCTCAATGTTATGAATTCATTAGGAATTAACACAATCATTTCGGGGGGAAAGGGATTGTTAGCAATGGAGTTTGACAGCCCCATTGCTAGCAATATGCCCTATTAGGTCGACCTCCACGTGGTTCCCCCTGGAAACCATTGTGAACAATTCTCGTTGAATTCGTCAAGATGGGCTAACTGATCCTTCATCCTTATCTATCATTCTTCACTGGTGCCCCGCCGGTGTATACCGATAGCGCGGGTGGGGATACCATTCCATTATCACCCATTTAAAAAAAAACAATCATTTCTAAAAAGGACTACATGGAGGTCCAACTAATAGAATATATTGCAAGCAACATTGCTTGAATTCTTTATTTATAACTATCTATCTATCCATTTAAGAGCTGCGCTCTTGTCGGTGGAACTCTTGCCACTCACTACGATTTTCAGCGAGTCTCTTCACCTCTTGATACGACACGACACCAACTCCTTCCTTGATCTTTTTTTTTTATATAATTTAGAATGGCAAACAAGCTGACGGCCCACTTAATGGAAAGTGGTAACCGTTGCCTACAGACATGAGCAGTACCATGGACATAACAGAGTATACTGTTTCGTCCATGATACCCCCCATGCGTTGCCATTCCTGAGGACTCAGGTGTTATTCCTTTGTACCCAGTAAATTCACGCTATATCCCATCCTTCAAACCGAAACACAGCCATGCAAACACAACTGCTTAACGGTTGAAACACGAATGGGACAGAGGTACCCAAGCAATCGACTTTTGTATAAAGTCTCCCTCTGGTGATCTGCCTGATGTAACTATGTGTTGGTCTCCCTCTTCCCTTCCTTCCTTCTATTATAATGTTCATAAGTTCGTCGTGTCGTATCAAGTGTCCCAACATTTTTCGTTATTTATATAGACACAAAAAAAAAATACAGGGAAATACCGAAAATGTCCCGCTTTTAAATTCAGTTAAATTTACAATGTTTCAATATTTCAATGCAAACTCACCTCAAATTACATAACTCCAGAATTGGTTTATAATTCATCACTGTAAATCCTTCTACAATAAGAAACTTCTTGCCTTTAGCCTCTAATTTGCCAGTTTCTCTCTCTACGGACGAGCCATGCGATTTGTCTCTCCCACTAAGGGTCTGAATGATGTCATCATACATCGTCTCCATATCCAAAGCTGATAGAATATCATAATTATTGTGTTCCATGCCTTCGCACCTCACATGTTTGGGACTATCGTCTGGGTAGAAATATTTGTCTTGATGAAACACGTATACTGGTCTTAACACATTTTTCAATCTGTTCGCTAAAGTCGTTTTTCCTCCGCACGTCACCCCCGATACTCCTATTACAATCCAATCATCCTTGTTGTATCCGGCCATTATATTTTGAAACTTAGTGCTTGAGTGGTAGCACTTCAGAGATATGGGTATATGTGATAGAAAGTGAATGACATGAGACCCCCGATGAAGAACAGACCCCAAACTGCGCAGAATAGGAGGAACCACTGCGGGTCCGGTATCAAACTGTAGACGGCGAGATCTGAAACATTACACTTGCTCTATAAAAAAAGACTCCACACATATTAATATTGCTACCCTAAAAAGGCGGATACACTTGCTCTATAAAAAAAGACTCCACACATATTAATATTGCTCCCCAAAAATGGCAGATTTTTTTTTCGAATTTACTCTAACTGACCTATCTTGTTCATTGTAGCTTTTTTGCCACTTTCATGGTATAAAAAAATGGGAAAGTTAACTCATGTGAATTGCAAAAAGAATTATTAAAATCGGTTCATAACGTAATCACTATATATATATATATATATATATATATATATATATATATATATATATAAGGCGGTCTTATTGCTGAGAGCAATCTTTTCAAGACAACCTTAGGGTAATGGACACACACTGTATAATTAAAAAAGCACTTTTGCAAATTAAAAATTATATATATATATATATATATATATATATATATATATATATATATATATATATATATATATAATTTTGATTAATTGATATGTATACATATATATATATATATATAAGGAAAGTACATATAGGCTTTTTAAGGCTAAAATGAATCATAAATATGCTAATATAAATATATCTGTGTGAGTCTATATTTCATAATACCTTTTGTCATTTACCTTTGTCTATAAATGGGTATGTATTGATCCAAAATACGATCAATACAAATACTGTAGACGTGGACACCAGAATCAATTTCCCCAGAGCTGCATCAGATATGTCCATAAACGTGGGTGACCAGTTTATTCAGATTCAGCCTGCAAGATCGGTTCGTCCTCAGGAAACAATATAGATTTGCCTTCGTCTTTTTTCACTTCTATTTTCTCAACAAGAGGTTTCCTTTTTATTGCTCGTTGAACTATCTGTAAAAGCAAGTGACACACCTCATTCTTACCAGTGTTTATGTGAAAGTCTGCAAATAATGGCAATAGTAATGAGGGATACCGTGGGCATAATAGTATACTTCGTAATGCCTATAGTACTGTTCATGTTTATAGGCAACAGTTACCATTTACCATCAAGTGGGTCATCAGCTTGTTTGCCATTCTAAATTGCATAAAAAAGGGGGAAAAAATCATACAGAATCATCTAGTCCTAAATTAAGGATAGTTGTATTATAGGAATAGGTTATGGATGTAAATTTTTTTTTTAATTCCGCAATATTATATATAGTAAATTGACTGAATACTACAGACATACTTATGAATACAAATTATTGTATTGTGAATTAATCAAATATTGGATGATAAGGATTAACATTATGGTTAAACTGTTACGTCATCAAGGTTGTATAATTGTCATCAACGGGTCATCAAATGTCAGCATTATCTGTGAACTGTTGGAAATAATTTTCAATGTTTCTGATTATTCAAAATCCACTTTTAACCAATTAAAATGTTAACCATAGAACAAGACACAATAGATAGATACTCCTCATTGTTTCCTTCAAAAGATTACAGTAGTAAACTTATTATAAATATAAATAATCACAAGAAATAATCACATTGAGAAAACAATGGGCGACCTTATCACTAAGAGCGATCTCTTTCAGGCAACCTTTGGATTCTAAATATGGGAATATTTCTAAATATGGAAATGTAATACATGTAAAAATATATTTTTCCTACTCATTATTATATAAATACACACATATACAAACAAGCTGCACTACGTCACAAAAAAGCCCCCCCTATATACATGAAGTATTGGATTTGACATTTTTAATATAAAGTAAAAAAAAAAACAATTGCACATGAACAAAAAAAAAAACTATTATTTAAGATTTGATTATAAAAAATAAACAGTGACTCTGTCAAGATTATTACAGAATTAACATAAGAAATATAATAATTATAATTTGTCTAAATCAATCTCAGCATAGAATTAGCAAAGGCATAACATATATACATTTCACATTACATTACAAGTACATATTCAGTAACCCTGCGGAGTGAGGCCCTGATGAGCTGTAATACAGGTATTCTTATACCTATCTCAGGCACCAGTCTCCCATAATTATATTTATAATTTGAATACTTTAATATAAACATATCTCATTATATTTCACTGTGATTAATTGTAAAAAAAAATCAGTTCTTATTATTATTATATATACAAAAAAACCTAAATCATCATCATCTGGGGGGGGGGGGGGGAGAGAAAGGGATTGTTAGTAATGGAGACTGAGAATCCCATTGCTAGTAATATACCCAACCAGGTCCACCTCCTCGTGGTTCCCCCTGGAAACTATCATGGTTAATTCCTGATGAATTCATCATGATGGGCTAACTGGCCTGTTTTCATTCTCATCTATCACCCTTCACTGGTGCTCCACCAGCATATCCTGTTAGCGCAGGCGGGGTTACCATACCATTTTCACCCATCAAAAAAAATATCATCATCTTCCTACCCTTATTCCAATTATTATTTGGGGTCAGTGTAATGTTTTTATCCATATTACAAAAAGTTTAAGCTATTAGTTTTGCAAAAAAAAACCTAAATACATAAATAAAATGTTTTATGAATATCACTCATTGGTAAACAAAGTTCTAGGCGTTATAAACATTTCATAAGCTTTCCCTTTAATTTGTTACCGATCAACTCATAATAATGAACCTACCTTGTCACTGACAGTCTTCTTAACAGTGGGCCTGGAGAGAGCCAGTAATTTCTTGACAGTTGCCTTGCTCACTTGTTCTGATGATTTGTTCTTTTGTTGTGTCTTGTTTATCTTCTTTGGAATCTGCTGTTTTTTAGTTTCTGTAAGGCATTTATAAAATAAATTAATCTTAATAATTTGAAAGTTATGAGATGTAGAGAGCTACTTTTTCTAATTGCACTATTTACCATCAACAGAGAAACATTTAAACTTAAATGGTCACATATAGTATAGTTTCAAAGATATTTTTTTCATATGCACAATGGCTTAAATTAGAGGCTTGGTGTGGAAAATAGAGTCCAATTTACAAAATAGTCTTTTCCTGAGAATACTCAAGCAGTGGAATGAATTCTTTGTCTAGGTTTTCTTTGAGGTTCTTCAGAAAGGGTATATTAAAAACTTTTTGAAGAAAACTTCAGGTTCATGTGACACATCTAATATTACAGATATCCTAAGGCAACAATGACTGTTTACCATCACATGGACTGTATGCTTGTTTGCCACATTTATGGGATAAAAGAGGTACTAGCCCTATAGTAGAAAAAATCCTAATGTAACTTTAATATTACTGGATGGATCAATTTGCAGATATAAAATGAAATAATGAATACTTGCCTATCAAACCATTCCCACAGATTGTGAGCTTCAAAAGATTAAAGTGGATTGAGGCATAAATCACAAACTAATTATAATAATAAACAATTAGTACTGCATTAAGTCAGTTACATAATATTTAATTACAAACAAACTATTTAGATGATTTTATAATTGATAAGTCACTTCACATTGCAATCTATTATAGGATCGACACACATTATTGCTTAATAATAATAATTATTAAATGACTATAATATACTTATCACTGTCACAACGTCAAGAAACACTAATTAAACATTCCTGATAAGGTTATGTAGTGACTTACTATATATAAGCGGAAATTATATCTTATATTATGGTATCAACATATTTATACAACACAGATCTCTTGTTCAGTGTTACAGTGCGATTGATCGTATTCACGTGACGCAAATGTCTATCTTAATTACACAAACCTTGACTCGACGACCCCTTGCGCCGTACCGCGCCCCTTTTGCTTCGCTTGTCCACACTCTCTTCAAAGAAAACAAAATTTTAAATACACGAAGAAGTAAGAAAACGATAACAGAACTTTAGTTTTTTTTTTACTTTAAATGTGTTACCTTCTGGGTCGACCAACTCGAGAGCCTGACGAATTAAAGGTGCAGACATTTTTCATTCAAACGAAACGAAATCATTTATTTATTTTAGTTAAGTTACAGGGATTCTAACCTAAAATTTTTCAATGTTCACTTGCAAATCGCGGACTTATGGTACCATTGTCACGTTATGTCAATGTCAATGAAATGTCAAAACAAACGTCAACCGGCGGATCAGTTTTCATTTCTCTTTTGTTTCGTTTCAAACTATTTTGTTGTGTAGCGTTTTGTTTTTTCCGGTTGTCAAATTATATATTATTATTATTATTATTAATGCGCATGCCTTTTAAAGGTATTCACAGCAATTTACTTTAACATAATTATACAGTATGAAATGAAGTAAACGATTTTAAGGAATTAAATAATACTAGACTACAAATATTTTAAAAGTTACGTTTATTGTTTAATTACTTCACAATAACATTTTGTTATGCAAGTAGTAATACAATGTGTCACCGCTCCTCTTGATTTTAAGAATATCTTATTTTTTATTGGATGAAAATGGAATAATAACTCCACCTGCGTTGGTATACGCATATATCTGTAGTATACGCTGGCGGAGCACCAGTGAGAGATGATAGGTGACGATGAGAACAGATCAATTAGCTCATAGTGACAAATTGCACAACAATTAATCACAATAATTTATAGAGAGAACCGCGTAGAGGTCGACCTAATTCTAATAGCCTAATTGCTCGCAATGTACCCTATATTGCTAGCAATGAGGCTGTTAGACTCAATTATTTACAATCCCTTTCCCCCTATTCTGAAGATATCGTAAATGGCAATAAAGGGAATAAAAACACAATGCATCAGCAGAAGAAAAGGAAAATATTTTTTAAGTAAATAATCTTCTTTAAATTCTCACCAAGTTTTATAATTGAATTTAATACACAATAAATCGTAGTCTCAAAATACAAATGATCCTTTATATGGATGAGTTCTAGTTCTGTCAAAAAGGTCTGTACAGTTACTAAAACATATATAGATTAATACTTTTACATTAAACTCAAATGCCTAGTTATCGTATTAGAAGTAAAATTACCATATATCGGTAACCTTCTCCTATGGGAATAAACTTGCGCCAACAGTGGGTCCTTAATGGGTTATTATGGTTACTTAATAGTGTAATAGAAATGCAATAAAAATGCACAGTAATTTTTTTATATTATTCTACCAGATTCTGTATGCTATACCGAGCGTTCAACGGTGAAATGGAGGGCCCCCCCGCCGGAGTGGAGAGGCGTGAAGACCCCGGCACGGGCGCGCCACCCCGCGGACCCGCACCGGCACCGCATCCGAGATATGAGGTCAGTGAGAATGAAAAGTTAGGCTATCGTGATGAATACACCTGGAATTCAGCATGATGGTTTCCAGGGAGATCATGTGGAGGTCGACCTGATAAGGTATATTGTTAGCAAAAGGGCAGTGAATTTACAGGGTACAGAGGAATAACACCTTAGTACTCAGGAGTGGCAACGCATATCATGGGAGAAACAGTATGCTCTGTTATGTCCATGGTGCTGCTCATATCTATAGGCGACGGTTACCACTTTCCATCAGGTGGGCCGTCAGCTTGTTTGCCATTCTAAGTTGTATAAAAAAGTTAGACCCCATTATCAGCAATCCCTTTCCCCCTAGTAGTGATAGGTAGGTGAGGTTGAACTTAAGTCTATCGGATCGAATTCATGAAGGTATTACCCACAATGGTTTCTAGGGGGTCACGTGGAGGTCCAACTGACATAGAGAGTACGAATTACCTACCTACCGGAATCATTGGAAGTTGAAACAGTTATGAAATCTCTACACCAGTAAGGTTTTTTTTTATATAACTTAGAATGGCAAACAAGCTGACGGCCCACCTGATGGAAAGTGGTAACCGTCGCCTATAGGCATGAGCAGTGCCATGGACATAACAGAGTATACTGTTTCGCCCATGATACCCCCCATGCGTTGCCATTCCTGAGGAGTTAGGTGTTATTCCTCTGTACCTGAATTTACCTACGTGTAAATTCACGCCATATCCCACCCTTCAAACCGAAACACAGCCATGCAAATACAGCTGCTTCACGGTTGAAACAATATTTGAACAAGGTAGTAAAAATAGGTACTCACTGTGTAAGCTTAGGACTTTATTACATCATCATCATATCAGCCTTTGACTGTCCACTGCTGAACATAAGCCTCCCCCTTGGTGGGTTTTGCCAGTATTTGCCAAGCCTGGCAGGTGGATTGTCAACCACCGTTAGGTGTTAGAGATAATTTAAGAGGGACGCTCCTACCCATCCCTCGCTCTCCCTTAGTCGGCTCTTGTGACACCAAACCACCAAAAAGGAAGGGGTGGCCTATTCTATACCGGGATCATATGGCAAGGTCTTTATTTATTTGACTATTATTAGTGCTATGACTCGATATCTGTTCGATGAACCTAGTTTTAAATACTGATTCGTTCGGACATTCCTGAACAGGGTCCCCCAACTCCATGCCCCGCTCGCGTGGAGTACGCGACGCCAGTGTTCGCGCGGAACTACCAAGGTGTATGGAGATACGTTGTGCAGATACCTTACGAGGGTTACTTCACTCAGACTGTCGAGGTCACACGGTAAGGGTTCGACTTTTAAAATTTATAGATTGATTTTTAAAAATGTTTTTAATGAAGATGGAATGATAAACTCGCCTGCTTTATTGGTTTACTCACTTTATTGGCATACAGCTCGTCTGATGGTAAATGGTCATTGTAGCCTAAGGACACCTGTAACACCAGGGGTGTCCCTTGCGCGTTGCCGATCCTGAAGAAACCTTTAATGCATTCGTTGATACACATGATAGGTGGGAATGAAGTTAGGCCAATTAGATCAACGCACAAATTTACTAGGAATTAACTATGATAATATTTCAGTACTAAAGGCGTTGCTCGATTGGTTTTACCACAAAGTATTGATCTAAGCATGAGATAAGTCACTGTCTCTAGTTAAATAACTCACCCTATTAGAACATTAGGTAGACACTGAAAATTACAGGTTCTTATTTTCAAATTTTGTTACATGATCGAAACAAAGGTACCATGGACTATTCATAACTGTGGATTTTTCTGTATTTTTATTTAATTCTTTATTGTACACACCAGTTTTTTATAAAAATATAACAGAGGCAATCAAATGTGTAAAGGCGAACTTAACTGTGCAAGAGTTCTCTTCCAGCAACACCCAAAGTGGAAAGGAACATCAATGTCAGCGGGTAGAGCGGTGTACAATATTGGGACAATTTTTAAAGAAAGAACCTAGACAAAATTAAATTAATATTTTGCTATAAGATTGTTTTTAGCAGGCGTGTAACGATATTTAGTAATATATGGCTATCTGTGGGTAGATGCATGCAGTCCCGCTGCCACTACCTGGAGGGCGGCTGCCTGAGCTCGCCGCGCTGGGTGTCGCTGCTGGTGGCCGAGCTGCACTACCCGCCGCCCGCGCCGCGGTCGCCACTCTACCAGGTACCAGCTCTTTACACCTACTGTTGCCATCTCTAGGCAATCTGTCTATGAAATCTATAATATCGTGTAAAATATAATTGGTTGAGAACACCGTCCGGTGTTGAGTCCGCCATATGTAGATAGAATTTTACTGTGCATTAGTTTTATACTTTATTTTAACATCTATACAAACATTGAAACGTATAATGTTATTTCCAATTTTGTTTTTAGGATTATCAACGTGGTCAGGGAGTAGCAGACTCAGAACCTAGCACAGAGAAGCCCACACATTGCGATGGGCATGATGAGCTTGGATGTTATCAGGTGCGTTTGAAATACTTGTCTAAGAATTTCTAATGCTATTAAAAACATTAAAAATAAATGTGTAGGTATTGAAAAGAAATTAATTCGTCTGTAAATCTACATTTATATTCGCCCCCAACCAACTTGCATTTGTGTTTCTCTTTAAAGCCAGAACAATAGCATCAAAAATATATTGGGTGTGTAATAGGAGTTCTTGCTGTTTGTTGTCATTGTTTTATTAGGTATTTAGTTTGTTTTTTGATTGTTTCAGCTTCGTATGTACTACGACTGGTTCCTTGTTCCCGGCTCTTGCAAATGCTGGAGACCAGACTACTTTGCCAAATACGTAAGACGTAGGCACACTAATGAATTGTAGATTTGTAGGTATTAGCAATAAATTTGTCGTCCAAGTATAATATATTTTAAGATTCAACGAAACGGTTCCATACTTATAGTTATGCAAAAGAAATGAATTTGAATACAAACAAAAATCATAAATAGACTTAAAATAATTCTCTAATATTCGTTAATAAGAAAATTTCGGTATTTTAAAGAGTATTATACTAATTTCGGTTGCTAATATTCATTGATTGAAGCATATTCTCAAGAAATTCAAAGAAAGATTTGATATCAATTCGGATAATAGCATAGTGACGAAGTATTAAGACGAGATGTATAATATTGTAATCATTAATTAAACAATTGGTGCTAATGTCGACGTTGTGAATGTAAGACTGTAGGTATTTGTTTTAGTTAGTAACATTGTATTGGTAAGTAGATATATCTATACCAAAATATTATATTGTACTGAAAGTGGAGAAGAGATCTCTTACATATATAATCCAGCTTATTTGTTAGATATCATGGCGTGAAATAAACAACGATTTTTCGTTCTTTTAATATGTATGTATAAATATTGCAATATAGAATTTTGCAGCCAGCTCAATGTGCATTTATAATTAAGTTTCTATTTAACAGTGTTATTATTAGTAAGTGAACTTATCGTATAACATTTATGTAGTGATAATGTAAAAATAAAGCACGAACACTTTACTTGTTTCTTTTATTTTTAAAAATATATCGGAATACGTAAGCATTGTAAGGTCTTTTATTTCATTACAGGGAGTTGTCAAAACGTTCTACATTGCGCTACAAATACATTGTACTCGTGTGTCGTTTGCTATCACTAACCTAATAATGTGTAGAAAATGAGCTACATTATTTTTATTAGGGAAACTACTATAAATCTTTGGTTGTGAGATTTTATAATTAGGTTGGAAATAAACTAAATACTTACTATAATATCTTTAACTTATACTATGAGATTATGTTATTTCTCTGAACTTGGAAAAATGTACAAAAATAACTACGTCGCTATTATAAGGATCACACAATAGAACCATAGCTATTTCACGTATTGTATCTAATTCCTAATTATTATTGTGTGACTATCTCTATACAGGGAGTACAGTTTCAGACACGGATACTGCGTTTGTTTCATTAACCGATATAACGTTAACGTGTACATCAGGATCACTCTGATTCGCACCAACATTTTGAGTATCCTCTTGAACATTCGTTGTAACTGCATCATCTGTATTCTCTTCTCTGCGTCTCACATATCCCTCTCTTTCTATTATTCTACCGTTCTCGAAAATGAATTCAGTATTTGCATCACTCGATTCACAACCAACATTTTCGGCATTAGGTTTTAACGCTTCACTTGCACAAGTGGTATGTCCAATAATTTGATTGCTGGCGTGGCCAGCATCTAATCTATTTTGAAACATACTTTCCCTCCGTCTGTTGTAAAAATGTACTGAAGGTATGCCGTCTTTAGGGTTTGAGTATGCTACGTAACAAGCGGAGTATGGCGGCGGAGGCTCCTCGTGGTATATCTTATTGATACCAATATTGCTGTTAGAAACAGTGTTGGCACATTCGGAGTAAGGCGGAGGTAAGTCGTTACTTATAGCATCTTGGTTACTCTCTGAGTGTAACATATCAGATGGAATACTTATATCACTCGGTGGTTGATCTGAAAGTTAAAGTTTATATTAAATACTAGAAGTATTGCCAGCGACGTCGGTATAATATACTTAAATAGGAAGGAAAAATTATCCATCTGTACACTGAGTCCTTTCTCGAAGAAGCAAAAGGAACAGAGAATCAATATTCTTACATGCAATTTTCTGTTTAATTTCCTATACCGTATGGTAAGTAATTGAAATAAAAATTGCACAGTCTGCGATTCCGTTGATTTTATTTACAGTTTTTATTTATTAAAGTACTTTTTTTTTTTAATATTTAATGATATACTCACTACTAGTAGCCAAAACATTAGCCGTAGGCCATTCTTCCGAGCGACGTCTCCTTCCTGCGACAAAAAATAAAAAAATGAGAGTTAGAAAACAGTGATCGGCTTTACTAATGACTGAGTTTTTGAAATGAAATGAAGTTAATTTATTTTGCTAGAATGTAGGTAGTTTTAGATGAAAGAGGTTTACATCACCGTATATATGTTTGATCTATGTCGGCGTGTAATTTATCAATTCGAATTCTTTTCGTGTGTTATTATATGCCCTTTTAGTGTAAACGTTTACTTCGTCTCCATATTGATTTCTTTTTTATACAACTTAGAATGGCAAATAAGCTGACGGCCCACCTGATGGAAAGTGGTAACCGTCGCCTATAGACATGAGCAGTACCATGGACATAACAGAGTATACTGTTTCGCCCACGATACTCCCCCATGCGTTGCCATTCCTGAGGATTCAGATGTTATTCCTCTGTGCCCAGTAAATTCAACGTGGGCTTACTTACCTATGAACTTCCTGTGGAGACACTTCTCGATGGCCCTCACCAGCAGCACGACGACGGCGAGCAGCACGGCGCCGGCCGCCCACCCGCGCGCCGCGCCCTCCCACCGCCGCCCCGCCGCCGCCCCGCCGCCCCCCGCACCACCACCCGCACCACCCGCACCACCCGCACCACCCGCACCACCCGCCGGCTCCAGCTGCATGTGCTGCCGACACACTCGCGCTCGTACAATGCGCCCAAGATAAATAGGCTACCTCTATCCTACTGCGGGGAAAGATATTGTTAGTAATGAGGTCTAATAGCCCCATTGATTGCAATATACCTTCTCAGGTCGACCTCAACGCCCCAAAGGTCCCCCCTGGAAACTTTCATGGTTAATTCTTGTTGAATTCATCATGGTGGGCCAACTGACCTGCTTTCATTCTTATCTCTCATTTTCCACTGGTGCCTTGTCGGTGTATACCGATAGCGCGGGCGTTGTTACCATTCCTTTTTAAGCCATTAAAAAATAACCTCTGTCCTATTCATGTGTCTGCCGCGTAGCAGCTGCACCTGTACAGTTGTGTTTCAGTTTAAGGACTGAGATCTCAGGAATAGCACCAGACGAGGGTTACTACATCACAGTGCATTCTATAGTGTCCATGGTTCTATTCGTGTCTAGGCGACGGTTATCAAGATTAGGAATGATACTATAATTGTACCTTTATACCCAGAACACATGCTAGACGCTGTTTCAACATAAATATAGATGAGCTAGACTCTTTTGTACCAAGACTCATAGATAGTGCAAATCTACCTGAAGGTCGGGTATACTCCACGGCCCCGCGTCGAGCGAGTACCGATCCTGCCGCCAGGAGCCCTCCGATGTGGGGAACGCGCCGCCACTTCTCCCACCATTGCTGTTTTCCAATCTGAAAATATTTTTTATAGATAAAGATATTTATTCCCAAAGAAAATTGACGTCAGGCTGGCGGCCGGTCGTAAAACTATAAACTTTCTTCAAATCTCTTTGTAATATGTATAAAACCATAATAATAATTGGGATAAGGATAGGAAGATGATGATATAAATTAGTATATGATCAGCCTCGAAATAATCATATGCACAGGGATTATCATAATCTTATACTTTAGGTATCTATCATCAAAACCAGCGCTGTGCAGCTGTTCACATTGCGCTGGGACACTCACAGCATCAGCTGAGCCGGTTCCTTTTGCCTAGTATGGGACACTTTTTGTATATGTTATTGATATGGCGTAAATTTACTGGGTACAGAGGAATAACGTTTGAGTCCTCAGGAATGGCAACGCATGGGGGGTATCATGGGCGAAACAGTGTACTCTGTTATGTACATGGTACTGCTCATGTCTATAGGCGACGGTTACCACTTACCATTAGGTGGGCCGTCAGCTTGTTTGCCATTCTAAGTTGCATAAACGTTGCCTGCGCTAACCGTATACGCTGGCGGGTCACTAGTAAGGGATGATAGGTGACGATGAATAAACAGGTCAGTTAGCCCATCGTGATGAATTGCACGAGAATTAGCCACGATGGTTTCCAGGGGGAACCACGTGGAGGTCGACCTAATAGGGTGTATTGCTAGTAATGGGGCCGTTAGACCCCATTACTAACAATACCTCCCCCCCCCCCCTCCGTCAAGTCGTTTAGGCTATACATACACTACGACAAGCACTCATACTTAATACACGCTAATCCATTAATCTTTTGTTTGTGGCTTAAAACTGGGCCAAAATTAGTTAACTAGGGGAAGAAGATCGCTAGCAGTGGGGATTAGCGGCTACATTTCTAGCAATATACGCTATCTGGTCGACCTTTAGGCGATCCTCCTTGGAAACCTTCGGCATTAATATCTGATGAATTTGTCACGATGGTTAGATTGATCTGCGTTATATCCTTATCTATCATCCCTCACTGGTGCCCCGCCAGGGTAAAGTGATAGCGTCGACGGGGTTGCTATTCTATCTTCCATAACTCTCACAAAAATATAGTTATTTTGTAAAAATAAAATATATTAAAAACAATATTTACATTTAAATGGATCCAGTTACCTGATCAGATGTCGTAACTGCTTTGGCGTGTACACAGCAATCTCCTGCCTGGGCAGGTGAGACCAATCGATGAACGCCTGCAGCTGGAGGTCCCTCAGGTCGTGCAGCGTGAGTCGCATCCGTCTCCGGTGATATCTATCCATGTGCTCGCGACGGGCGTCATCCCAGCCCGGCCAAGACAGCCACGTCGGCTTGATCGTCGGTTGCATTCTGAAATGTGGATGGAAATCGAAAAATTTAGCTTGGAGTCCTTGAAGAAATGATCAGGAAAAGCACAGCTGCCGAAAAATAATTTTTGACCGATAAAGTCTGTACGTAGTAGAGAAAAGATGGCTTTGGAATTCTCCAAGGGTCATCCTAGTCACCATTTTTAAAATTGAATTTCACAAAAGTATTATTCATTTATTAAAGAATCTAATATTATTAAAGAGATACTTGTATGTTTACTGGGTGAAATTGTAGACTCAGTTTTCTATCGCGTATGTCGCGTAAAATTGCTGTCAAAACAAATACATATACCTACGTCCTCTCCATCTAAAGGTTGCCTGGAAGAGATCGCTTTTACATTTTATTAGCATTGATTAAGGTCGCCCATTGTTTTCTCATTGTGATTATTTCTTGCAATTATTTATATTTATAATAAGTTTACTATTGTAATCTTTTGGAGGAAACAAGAGTATCTATGTATTTATCTTCGTCTCTATCATACAAATTCCTATAATTTGCGTATTTTTTATGGGACAAAATGAAATGGTAACCCGGCTTGCGCTATTGGTATACGCTGGTGGGGCAGCAGTGAGAGATGATAGGTGAGAATGAAAGCGGATTACTTAGTCTATCGTGACGACTTTACGATGATTAAAGCTATATAGCTAGAAGGCAGTTTGGTACAGATATAGTTTACTTTGAGATTTAGTATCAATGTATTCATTTTTGTTCTTCTGACCCCTTATGATAGCCTAGTATTGAAAGGAAATTGTGCTATCGTTTCCATACCTAGTTGTCATACGGAAGGAAAGAAAAAAATACAATAATTGTGTAGACATTTGTTATCAAATTGTAAATACAGTGCACTGTTAATTATACGCCATTATCTTCGTCAACAATGAGCTTATCAAGCGGACAGGGGCATAGGTTACACTTGAGATTAATCTATTGATACCTTGTCAGGATATTGTGCTGCATTCGTAGCATTGTTGGCTCGCTTACGTAAGAATAGAACTTGTAAATAAGACTAGTGACGAAGGATTCATTTGAAAATAAGTTTTAGTGTGCATCTATTCATTTGCATCTATATATTGACTGATTGAGAAAGATTGATCAATGTGAAAGAAGCGAAAAAGGTTTGTTTGAATCGAAGCATTTGGCGTTCCATTGTTTCTGCCTACCCTAATGAGAGACAGATATGTATATATTTTATGTAACTTAGAACAGCAAACAAGCTGACGGCCCACCTAATGGAAAGTGGTAACCGTCGCCTATAGACATGAGCAGTGCTATGGACATAACAGAGTATACTGTTTCGCCCATGATACATAGGACGGAGGCACCCAAGCAAACGATTTTTGGACAAAATGATCAGATTTGAAAATGATTGGATTTTGAAAAAATAAATCTGGTTAAATGATTTAAATTAAATTAGTCAATTTTCATGAAAGATTTTTTAACCGACTTCAAAAAGAAAGGGGTTAACAATTTAATTCTACTTTTTTATGTTTGTTACCTTGTAACTCCGTCAATTGTAATCTGAGATTGAAATCTGTTTTTGTCTGAGAGAATATATTTGCACATTCCCATAGAGAATCCCATAGAGATTTTCGTCAAAATGGGTTCATTTTTTATTTTAATAGTACCTTTGTGTCCCGGCTAAACAATATGTTCCGATCACGAATCCGCTTTATATCTTACATAGCGAATAAATTTTTATATCAGATTTTATATTTCTTAGAAACTTGATTGCTGATCGAAATTAAATCCAAGCTGTGGAATGAGCTCAATTGAATTCAACGAATCCATCCGAGATTTTCCCTAGAATTTACAGTTTTTCAAAGAGGGTGTAAAGTTTCTTCAGGGAAAGTACTTGAAGAAAAATATATATTTAATAATAGTATTGATAAAGATAGTGATTCATTTGAGTATCACGCTCTCTGCTCGCCTTAAGCTACAAATTATTATTATATAGTAAGAAGTTACAGTGTTCCAAGAATAGTTTTTTTTAAATGGGTGAAAATGGCATGGTAGCCCCGCCTGCGCCAACGAGATACGCTGGCGGAGCACCAGTGAAGGGTGATAGATGAGAATGAAAACAGGCCAGTTAGCCCATCATGATGAATTCATCAGGAATTAACCATGATAGTTTCCAGGGGGAACCGCGAGGAGGTCGACCTGTTTGGGTATATTGCTAGCAATGAGATTCTCAGTCTCCATTACTAACAATCCCTTTCCCCCTCCAAGAATAGTTTATGAGGACTATTTGGTACACTGAATAAGTGTCGATCGCTCTACTGGAATGTAACTGATTGCTAATGTTTAATTGAGCTGACATAATAAGTTAATGACCCGAGGAAATGGGTTCGACGTTAAACACTCACGTTAGAATGGCGAGTTGCGTTGCAATGGCGAAGTTAGTGGCGATTTAAAAAAAGAACATTAACAATTTTCGGATAGAGACTTCCCATTTTTAGGATAAATAGATAGACAAATACTATCTACTTGTTCCTTGCAAAAACTTATAGTAATAAACATAGTAAAAATACAAAAAGAAATCATTACTGAAATAAGGATGAGAAATATGGCGCTGATATACAATTAAAGAGTGAGTGCTGGGAATAGAGTGAATGGTGAGATGAAGAAATTGGAGTTCATATTCATATTAGCTGATATTTGTCCATGGGCGTCCTTTATAGACTGGCATAAGGAACTGTCCTGAGCCACCTGCTTCCATTGGTTCTTTGCAATGTATTTAAGGTCATCACTCCATCTAGTGGGATCTCGTACTTTACTGTGTTTGCTCGTACGTGATCGCCACTCAAGAACCTTTCTTCCCCATCGGTTATCAGTTCTTTGAGCTATGTGACCAGTCCACTGCCACTTCAGCTTGCTTATTCTTTAGGCTATGTTGATCACATTGGTTTTTTGCGGATACCCTTATTTCGGATTTTGTCACACAAAGACATTTCGAGCAAAGCCCTCTCCATAGCTCGCTGAGTAACTTGAAGCATTTGCATACGGGCAATCGTGTAGGACCTTGTTTAGGTTTCATAGGTCATCACTGGTAACACGCACTAGTTAGAGGCCTTCGTCTTCGAATTTGGCGTATATAAGACTATTTTCTAAAGGAAGCTGGCTCTCTCATTTGCTCTCTCAGACATGTCTCTGCGCATAGTTGAAAGCGCCGCTCATACGCTAGGATAGGCACCGGACAATTCTGGTGTGGGTTCCGCCCAACGGGACTCCCTTAAATACGCTTATGTTAGAGAAGCTATTTGATAGCCACAATTTAAGCCAAAAGGCGCAGTTGTCATAGATATAATTCCATATTTGTCTTCACATTTTTGTATGGTTGCGAGATTTGGATGTGTGTCAAAAACAATACAAGTAGACGAAATGCGGTTGAGGTGAGAACATTGTATAGGATAAAAGGCAAAAAGAATTGATTCGAGCACGTGGAAAAGATATCGGATAAAAGGTCGACGAATCAGGGAGTTTACTATGAAATGAGATTCCGAATTCTCGGGTTCAATTTCGTGTTTTCGATAATACTGAAATCGGCTTAGTAAAAGGAGCTTAACGTTTGGTTCGTTTAAACCCTACCGTAAAAGTCTTACGGAACGATATTTTATATTATTATTTTTTTATTATTTTTAAACAGTTTTATATTATGTAAATTTAATATCAAATTTGTGTTTCGTTCGGGCCCGAAATTTCGGAAACCATTTCATGCCAAGCCCTCTGATGTTCAATGCGAAAGTGGAAGGCTGCAGTTACCGAGGGAGACCTAAACTATGATCAGACAGACTATGTTCTATCTGATGGAAAGTGGTAACCGTCGCCTATAGACATGAGCAGTACCATGGACATAACAGAACATACCGTTTCGCCCATGATACCTCTCATGCGTTGTCATTCCTGAGGACTCAGATGTTATTTCTCTGTACTATGTACATCCCACCTTTCAAACCGAAACACAGTCATGCAAATACAACTGCTTCACAGTAGAAACACGAATAGGACAGAGGTGCCCAAGCAAACGAGGCCGGCAGCATACTTGCAATGCCACTGGTGTTGTGGGTGATTATGGGCGGCGGTAGACACTAACCATCAGGTGAGCCGCATGCTCGTTTGCCCTCTGTGTTGTAAAAAAAAAAACGACTTTTGTACAATGTCTCCCTCTGGTAACATAAAAAATATAACCGAATTGACAATCTTCTTTGAAGTTGGTTGAAAACAAAGTATAAATTAATATTTTCGTATTTTTTTTTTGGTGGATGAAAATGGAATGGTAACCCCGCCTGCGCTAACGGGATACGCTGGCGGTGCACCAGTAAAGGGTGATAGATGAGAATGAAGACAGGCCAGTTAGTCCATCATGATGAATTCAACAGGAATTAACCATGATAGTTTCCAGGGGGAACCACGAGGAGGTGGACCTGGTTGGGTATATTGCTAGCAATGGGATTTTTAGTCTCCATTACTAACAATCCCTTTCCCCCCAATATTTGCGTATTACGATCGTTTATCGCAGTGTGTTTTATTCATGTACCTTTATTATTAGTACTTTATGCTATAACCTTGCCCGTACGCGCAGCGGAAACTCCAGAGAAACCGATTCAACAATATCATGCCTATTTAGTGCTGTCAGAGTATTTGTGGTTAATGTAAACACTATTCATTATACACGTACAGTAACCGCCTAATTATAATAACTATAATTAATTTTCCTATAAGTTTTTTTTTATGCAAACAAGCTGACGACCCACCTGATGGAAAGTGGTAACCGTCGCCTATAGACATGAGCAGTACCGTGGACATAACAGAGTATACCGTTTCGCCCATGATACCTCCCATGCGTTGCCATTCCTGAGGACTCAGGTGTTATTCTTTTGTATCCTGTACATTCACATTTCACATAGGCAAACATGAGGTGCCCAAGTAAACGACTTTACCTTTACGAAGTTAATTTTCTTACCACCAGTAAACTACTAAAACCAAATGGGTTTTCAACCAACTTGAAAATGAAGAAGGTTCTTGATTCATCTCATAACTCCGTCAGATGTAAACTGATTTGGGAAATTTGTTTTTTTTTTATCTGAAAAGATATATTTACAGATTGGTTCATAGAAATTTTATCAAAATCGATTTCGTAGTTTAGTTTTTAAATCAAAATAGTTTGTTTTTCCACAAATATTCGTCTCATAAAAAAAATAGTACACTTAATTATTGTATTGTATTATAAAATCTTTACTGTACATAGGTACATACATATTAAAAAAAACTTTTAATAAAAAATTGCGGACTTATTCCATAGAGGGATCTCTTACAGTCAACCTTTGAGCTGATAGAAAACTATAAAATGTTCAAAGGTAAAACCGTACAGCTATTGATAAAACTCAATAATACCAAGTTAAAACTGTATAAAACATATAATATAAAAAAAACTAAGTAACTGTATACACTTACATATGTAAATAATAATAATAATGCATAAATAAACAATAATAAACCTATACATATAAATACACATATTCACAATTGGCTTTTTGAAAAAGGAGTTTAAAATAAAATTTTATGATACCTGTTTTTCATTCTTTTCTCAATGTCCTCTACCCAAAGGTTGTCTGGAAGAGATTGCTTAGCGATAAGGCCGCCTTTTGTATCATTTCTCATTACAGTTAAATGTATTTACTATTCTATAAATGGTGCAATAAAGTGTAAAATAAAATAAATAAATTACTTGCTATTATTTTTAATTTGATGCGCCGTCTTCATTAAAAACAAAATAATTTGGGACATTTGTGAACGATAACACGCGAGATAGTATAGTTCTAACATACTTACCACGCAATATAGATACCTATATGATCCTGGTAAATAAACTAAGAGAAGTAACATAACTATAACTAGCGATCCGACCGGCTTCGCACGAGTACACAGAATTTTCGAAAATCAATACATTATAATAAAAAAAAAGTATTAGCCAATTCAACTGCTTGGTTTTTTATAGCATTCTATGTGTGTTTCTTTAGATTTATATAACTTTTCTATTTATGAACCGATTGAAATAAAACAAACACTAAATGTTGAGGGGGGCAAACCGCAACGCATTAGTGAGAATCGCATTCTTTTTTTTGTTTTGTTTTTTTATACAACTTAGAACAGCAAACAAGCTGACGGCCCACCTGATGGTAAGTGGTAATCGTCGTCTATAGACATGAACAGTACCGTGCACATAACAGAGTATACTGTTTCGTCCATGATACCCCCCATGCGTTGCTATTCCTGAGGACTCAGGTGTTATTCCTCTGTACCCTGTAAATTCAAATTGGTTAAGCCATTTCTGAGATTAGCGTGCACAAACGTACAGGCATTTTTTTCGGTTCTATTATGTGCATAAAGCCCTTCCTATAATAGTTTTTTTTTTATATATCTTCCATGTACAGACAGCGACCAGTTACGATTTTATTATATATGTTTATATTATATATGGGATTATATTATATTTAACTCATGACTTGATTTGATGAAGAGCCTTTTATGTGATGAAAATGGAATGGTAACAACGCCTGCGCTATCAGGTACCAGTGAGAGATGATAGGTCAGGTTGAAGTCAGATCAAATGGGTAATCATAACGTATTCATCAGAAATTAAAAAAAAAAATTTCCAGTGGGAACCTCGTGGAGGTCTAACTAACAGGATATATTGGGGGAAAGGGTTTGTTAGTAATGTGGACTACCAGTCCCATTGCTAGCAATATACCCTATCAGGTTGACTTCTACATGGTCCTCCCTGGAAACCATCAATTTCAAACGTATTCATCACCATGGGCTAACTGACCTGCCTTTTCATTCTCACCTATCATCTCTCACTGGTGCTCCGCCAGCGTATACCGTTAACGCAGGTGAGGTTACCATTCCATTATCATCAATTAAAAAAAACTATATATTGCTAGCTATATATGTGTACGTGTGCTAATTCTTTTTTAATAAATTTTTACTTTTCTAGAAACCAGCTCGGAAAAGCAATTTTATGTTTTTTTAATGGGTGACTATATATGGTACGTAGAATGGTAACCCCGCTTGACGCTTATACGTTGACCGGACACCAGTGAAGGATGATAAATGAGGATGAAAACAGAGGACCTACCATCAAATGTTTTCCGAAATTTTGGAGCCAAACGAAATAGAAATTTGATGTTAAAATTACATAATACATGCCTTTTGGAAATATTAAAAATGTTAAAATGTCGTTCCTTTGGACTTTTATGATAGGATGTATGACGAACGAAATGTTAAACTCCATTTATTGGTCCGATTTTGGTATGAACAAAAACACGAAAATAAGTCCGAAATTTCGGAATTTCATTTCATGGTAGACCCGCAGGTCAATTAGGCGATCATGACGAATTCCACGTTGGCTTTCAGGGGAAACTGCGTGGAGGTCGACCTGATGGGGCTGTTAGAGCCTCATTACTAACAATGCCTTTCCACACAGCTTGTTTTTGTCAATTCGGAACCGTTTTTGATATATTTTTTTGTTATCAAATCGGAAAATCCTGTTTTAGATTTGTCACGAATTAAGTCATTGTTTAGTTAAGGAAGAAAGGTTTTTGAGTGGCGACCCCGTACGGGCAAACGCAGTGTAGGACAACCCCTCCCCACTTACTAGATGGAGTGACGACCTGAAATACACTACAGGGAGTCAGTGGAAGCAGGTGGCTCAGGACCATTTTTATAGCAGTCAATGGGGGAGGCTTATGTCCAGCAGTGGACAGATAATGGCTGAAATGATGAATGATAAAGTCATTGTTTATACAACTTGAATTAAGAATTTAGCTGATGAAAAGAGGTATTGTTTGCATACGACTATATAGTTATATATAGACAGAGAAATAACTACATAGAGACAGATAAAGGAAACATTAGGTGTCATGTCGTATAGGGAGGTCAAAGATATGGCCTGGGATAGAGCTGGCTGGAAGAGAATGCATAAATTAGTTGCTACAAGAGGAATCTCTTAAATAGAAAGAGAGAGAGACTCATAATAGTACAGAATGTGTCTATCTCACCTTCAGTGAATTGCTGCTTCTATCCCTTATCCCTTGCATAATTTTAATCATTATTCAGGGATACAAACGAAATTCCAGACAAAGGCGTAAAAAGCAAACCAAAATGTTATCAGTCGACGTATATTTCCGTCTACCCCATCGTGTATTATAACCGTGAATATTATTTCTTTTTACAGACCATACGCTCGTTTTAGAAACCTATTTTACAAAAACTTCGCATGTCTTCATACTATACTTAGTGTTTATTTACAACACAACAATACGTAATATGTCTGATAATCACGTTTGACCTACTTACCTGATTGTTTTATTTCCCTGCCAACTACGCTGCGTATCCATCCATTCTATCACGGAAGTCACTCATCACGGTTTGTAACCATCATTATCACGCTATCACATTCACTATTATATGGTGAGAGGTGTGTAACACGACGCAAGTTCACGTAATGGCTGGCTGATACTACTAGCAGAGCGGAGGCTCAGGGCGTGCCGGCCCGCGCATGCGTGGTGGTGGGGCATTCACTCGATCGAGTGGGGAGGTTGGCGTGTTTGATTAGTGTTAGGGGCAGAAAATGAAAACGGATTTGTTATATTGACATCATTATCTTTCTGATGACACAAGAAATTCATCGTGCCTTAGCTCGCGAACGACTTGCCTTTTGTGAGAATTAAAAAAGTATATGTTTCGAATTAGTTATGATATTGCAATTATCACAAAATTTCATATTTCCAAACTTAAAAGTATCATAGGGTTCAGATTATTTTGTTTCGTAAACTACAACGATATTCAATGGTTTATTATATATATATCATCTCCCACAAAAAGCGACTTCATTTGTGACAAAATCAGTAGTTATTTTTATTTAAAAACTAAAATATTAAATCGATTTTGCTAAAATTTCTACCCGACCAATCTACAAGTATATCCTTTCTGATAGATTTTTTTTCCAAATTAGTTTATAATTGGCAGAATAACCTTAAAATTTGTACTCGCCCTTCTTTAAAGTTCGCTGCGAATTCCCATCAATGATAGGAATTTTAAGATGTTCTCTGTAGCGATGTTTTTATCACCTCAGGATACAGAGTGTGTTTTCCAAAGCAGATATATCGTTTATGTACTAGTGGGCTACAGCCACACATCCAATGCTGCGGCGTTTCTTCCTCGTGATGACAAAATCTGCGAACACTTTTTGGGCATAATCCTAGTTGGGCCATATGCTTGTTTAGTTTGCAGTGTCCTGTGAGGGCCCTTGTTAATACACACATTTTATTTTTACTTAAAAGAATTAGAGTTATGAGGTAACCAACATAAAAAGAATCCAACTGAATTAAGAACCTTCTGTTCGAAGTCGTTAAATATTTTAAATTGGTAGTTACAACCGACCTTGAATTCGCCGTGTTCCAATTAACTGGTTCGTCTGTGTTCTATGACACTTCCCGTTCTGTTATTAATTTAATTAACAGAGGTCGTTAGAAACCACGCCGTGTAGTAAGACACTGCAGCAATGCAAGAAATTTTGTATCTTTTCTTTTTTTTATGTTATTATCATATCAGCAGAATAGTTGAACTGCTGAACACATCCCCTCTCTCTTGGGGTTTTGCCAGTAGTTGCCACGCTTGGCAGGAGGATTGTCAACCGCAGTTTGGTTTTGAAGATGTTTTAAGAAGGACGCTGCTGCTCATTACTTGCGTTCCCTTAGTCGCTTCTTATAACATCCACGGTAAACGAAGGGGTAGCCTATTCTACGCTGGAACCACACGGCAAATCACCTGTAAATATGATCAACAATTGACATTACAGAATATACTGTGACGCCCATGATATTCTTCATGCGTGGCCATTCCTGAAGATTATAGTGTTATGCCTTTATATCTTGCAACGTATTTTACTACCATATCTTTTCAAACTAAAATAAATCAAGCACAGCTGTTTCATGGCAGAAATACGGGTAAAAGCAGAAAAATTTTATGCGTAGTTTCTCTCTGGCGTTAAAACTTTCTTGAAATATAGATAGATAAATAAACACAAATGGTGGTGGTAATTAACGGACATGGTATGGGGTTTTGGGCTCTTTAAAATATGGTTGGCTTATACGTCATACTCGTGAACGGGAGCTACCTGTAGAGACTGGTCACCTTTGGTCATTGCAACTGATTTATTATATTAATTTGTTATAATTGTCCGCTAAGACTATACTTTTTATGACCTGCTACTGCTTGACAGTTCGTATTCGCCCGAAATCAAAATTTACAGAATACACTTAAAAAAAAAGCAACAGCTGAAGTTATCGCCTGTTCTTATCAATTGAAATTGCATTCCAAATGAATATAGGTAAGAACAATTATATTTACTTTGATATTGTTGAAAGTTCAATAAGATTTGAAACAAAACCCAATTCTTTGTACTTATCTTGGTATGCATAGTTTTGGTATTCGACTGGGATTTCGACCTTTCCTTTATATTACTTGAAGAGGCAATCAACAGCAGTCTCCCTGTTGTAGCACGTCACAATCAAAGTTACCAAAATACATTACGTCATTCTCCGGCGACAGTAAGCTTCATGTTGATTTTATTACTTGTAAACACTGTTTATGGTCCAACTCCGCGGGAAATTCCGCGACTTTATCATTGCAGATCGCAAAATCAATCTTGACTAAATGAAATTAGCATATATTTTTAAGTTACCTTAAATGGCAAACAAACTGATAAACAAACAACATCGTACAACCCGCCATAAACTAAAATTTCATCCCAACCATCTGGACAAGTGGCGGTCCTCCACCGTGCGTTTTTCAAGGCACTTTCTCCCACGCACAACCACTCTTTGGAATCAACTTCCAGCAGCAGTATTTCCGAACCGATACGACAACATAACCTTCAAGAAAAGAGCATATTCCTTTTTAAAAGGCTGGCAGCACACCTGCAATGCCGTAGGTGTTGTGGGTGATCATGGGCGGCGGTAGTCACTTATCATCAGGTGAGCCGCATGCTCGTTTGCCCCCTGTGTAGTAAAAAAAAAAAAAAAAACTGACTGTCCACCTGATGGATTGTGGCAACTGTCGCCTGTAGACATTAATTGTACTATAGATATGTCAGAATGCACTGTGACACCCTTCATGCGTTGCCATTTCTAAAAACTATGAGATTTCTTTCCGCACCCTGTAACATATCTGCCATCATTCTATCGTGTGATCTCGGCAGGAAATGGGCCTTTTCTTCCTACTGTGGGTGTTTTAATAGATGACTAAGACAACTTTATAGCCGAGGGATGGGCAGCAGCGTCCCTTTTTAAATATCACCAAAGCCTGACTGCGGTTGCAAACCGCCTGCCAAGCGTGGCAACTACTGGCAAAACACGCCTTATGGGACTTATGTTCAGCAGTGGACAATTAAAGGCTGACATGATGATGATGCTATTGCAATATCTACTTGAGCCTATACGCAGTTTACCACTTTCAATCAGGAGGGCTATAAAAATTTCTCATGACATTTTTTTATGCAACTTAGAATGGCAAACAAGCTGACGGCTCACCTGATAGAAAATGGTAACCGTCGCCTATAGACATGAACAGTACTATGGACATAACAGAGTATACTGTTTCGTCCATAATACCCCCTCCCAAATGCGTCGCCATTCCTGAGGACTCAGGTGTTATTCCTCTGTACCCTGTACATTCACATTTCACATAAGAAAGCCCTTCTTCAGGAATAACAACGCTAGACTCGTACCATGAGCACAATGGCTGTTCACGATTACAGGCAACGGTTGCTACTTTCCACGAGGTTGGGCGGTCAGCTTTTTTGTTGATTCCGCATTATTTTAGATGGACAAAGCCACGGTTAACTAGATAGTAAATAGTATCAAGTGTGAGCAATAGTAGTACATGTGGGGAGGACGAGGAACAGTCGGAGCCAGCTGTTATTGACAAAGTGCGAAGCAGGGCCGCGCGGGATCGATGCGGGCGCGACACTCAGGCGCCTCTGCCAACGTGGCGGGGACACAGCGGGAGCATTATTTAAGCTTACTTTCCAGGCTGGTCCTTTAAACAAGGCACTGTTTTCAGTCATTTCTTTGGGAAGTTGTACTTGTTTTTTTTTTATTCAACTTAGAATGGCAAACAAGCTGGTTAGAAACGAAGTTAGGCTTTCAGATATGTTTTTAGAGGGACACCATTGCACTTCCCCCTATCATTAAGTTCATTTAGTCGCCTCTTACGAAACCTATAGTAAAGCAAGGAGTGGCCTATTCTATGACGGGACCATACGGTCAAATTTAGAATTAATATACTAAAAATAAAATAAATAATAATGATTAAACGTAAATGAAGTCGTGAAACAAATTGGTTTGTGTGGTTAATTGTGTGGTTTTACCTACAAAAAATATTAAATGCATATCAGAAATAGCAACGCGTGGGAAGTATCATGGGTGAAACAGTATACTCTGTTATGTCCATGGCACTGCTCATGTCTATAGGCGACGGTTACCACTTTCCATCAGGTGGGCCGTTAGCTTGTTTGCCATTCTAAGTTGCATAAAAAATACATGAATGTATGTATTTTTTTTATAGGTATCTATCACGCCTGTTTGAAAAAGTATTAGGTATTTTTTTTTATTTATTTAATATCTAGAACAGAGTATATATAACAGGGGGGATTATTAGCAGAATGTACAATGTATTGTGCTCAGAGGAATTGTTCAATATGATGCCCACAGCCACTTTCTACCATCGTACGGCTCCCCATCGACAGGGAGTTCATCCTCATGTCCTACAGCCTCAATGGTCGCGTACTGCGCGGTTTCAGAGATGTTTCCTCCCACAAACTCTCAAGTTGTGGAATGAGCTCCCTGCTGAGGCTTTCCCAAGATTCTACAGCGTGAAGTTCTTCAAAAGGGGGGTAAAGAGGTTCCTTCAGGGTCGGCAACGCACGCGTAATACCTTTGGTATTGCAGGTGTTCATAGGTTACGGTAAACACTTACCATCAGGTGGGCCGTATGCTTGTTTGCCACCTCAGTGGTATATAAAAAAAGAATTGAGTATAATAAGTACCTCAGTAGAGATGTATATCCAGTAGTGGACTGCAGTATGCTGAATTTTAACGATTGTGACGCTGAATGGGACTGTTAGACCCCATTACTAACAATCCGTTAATGATAAAACTATAAAGTCTACATCATTAACGAATAAAATAAATAAACATATACGTAATGTTTTGTTTTGAATATTTAATGTTATTACACAATGTTTACCTTCCGGTTATCAGTAACACCTAATCGTGTATAGACTTCATTTGAATTTGTAAACACTAGGATTTTGGTTACGTACCCGCAAACATGATTTTATTGTTTGTATCTACTTTAACGATAATAATATGAAATGACATATACCCATATAAAAGTACCTACATAATGCATAGGCATTCATAAAAAAAAATTAAAAGTGCTTGTAGACAAGTCTATTTGGATAAAGCTGATTTGAATTTGAGTTCAATCTATTACAAGATATTATTTTTAACTATTATGT